CTCTAACCTGAGAAAGGAAGAACAGAAATCTGCTTTTGCTCCAGCTGTCAGTCAGGGGCAGAATTCACTTGAATTCAGGAGTGAAAGTGCATTTGGAAACTTCCCTTTCCTGACTGCCCTTTCTCACTGCAACACTAAGAGCTGTAAAAGCCTTAAAATTCTTTCAATGCCCTTTGGCTTAAAAAAGTGAGAAATTCTGTGTATTGGACAGTGGCAACCTGAGTTCTCTGGCTGGAGCTTGTCTGGATTCAGTTGGGCAGTTCTGCAATGACACCTGGTCTTTTTTGGAACTGCACTCTGTCTTGTGGGTGAATGTTGCTTATATATAAGTGCATTAATTAGACTTGGAAATCTAATAAAGATGAAAAGGAAGGAAGGCAGACACCATCCAGAAGGTGTGTACATGTCACCATCAATTCTCTTCCCCAGGAGAGAAGCTGCTCTGCAGTTGGAAAGAACCAGGGACCCAAAGGAGCTCAGAGGCACAGTGCTGTGGGTTGTAATTGAAAATCACAATTACATCTGTGAGCAAGAGCCAAATAAAAGCAAACCATAGCTAATCACTGTTATAAAAAACAGAGTGTCCTTGTGCCCAGCCCCATCTACTCCCAGAAATAAACTTGTTTCAGACCACATTAAAATCCAGTAGAATAATGCATGGCTGCTGCAAATCTGCCAGTGAAATTAAGAGCTTTTTTGGCAAACCAGCAAAGAGACTCAGTCCAAAGGTTTAAGGCTTCTGGAGCTGCTTCAGTTGTGTTTCATGCTTGACTTTCTGCAGTCCTCCTGAACTGGCTGAAAGCATCTCTCTGTTGTTTTCACCCAGCCAAAGCACTGAGAGAGGACTTTCTATTTCATACCTTGCTATTCAGATTATGTAATGTGGGTTATCCTAAATGCCTCTTGCTTTTCCCTTTGGAAAGTTTTTTTTTCAGAAAATAATAATGGGCAGATCTTCACTTCTGTAACTTCAGCACACATCTGCTGCAGCTCAGATGTTTTTATTATACTTATCTGGGTTCCAAGTTTGGACCTGTCTGAATGCTGATTTTTTTAATTTTTTTTTTTAATTTCTGCAAGTTTCAGCAAAAATCCTGTAGCATGTGTAAAAAGAATCTCAGTTAATTCAGTGCATTTGGAGTTACCTACACAGTCTTGTAATTTTAATTTTATATAGGTTGAGCAAATTTTAATGGCAAAATGATAATGTTTTTTATCTGTTCAGGGCAAGTTCCTGAGCAGGGAGTAATGTGCACACCTGTAGAACAGGAGTTCTCTGTATAATAAACTGAATTAAACTGGGTGCATCCCAGTGGAAGCTTCTAATTTAATTTTAGCCTCTTAGGACAGCAATGCTTATTTCATTCTGCTTATCAGATATGTATGGAGTGTACTCTGATGCAGGTGAGACTATTTATCTTATAAAGATGAGTAAGAGCAATAAGAAATTTGATTTCAGATAATGCCTGTGGCTGCTACTCCTAACTGTCCAACAACATGGTCCTGCTTAGCAATTTTAAGACAAAAAAACCCATTTAAAGGCTTTATTTCACCTACAAGATGTGATGTGCTCAGTGATCCAGAGCAGTTCTCCCAAAGTCATTAGAATCTCAGTACCACAAAACAAAAATATGGCTTTTTTATAGGTTTGGGGTTTTTTCCCCCCCAGTCCACAGCAAAGTATTTTTTGCCATGGATAGAAAGAAGGAAAATGAGGTTCTCTTTTCACATTAAATATAAATAATTAGTTCTATGCACAGGGAAATGAATAGAGGGCCAAATTAGAGAAAAGCAACAAAATCTGAATGAATCAGCACAAATGCTCTATTCCTAACCCAGTTCCTGAGATTTCAGGCACTGTGGGGACATTTTGCTGGTTGCCAGTCTCGTGGTTTCAGGATATCTCTGCTGTGTTTGATTTGATATTGTCCTCCTGTTCTAGCCTAACCACGTTTGTTATTAAATATGGCACTTGCAGCATTATTTGGGGTATGGAATGGGACCAGGGGAAGGGACCTGTGGGGTTTAGCTGGGTAACAACTGCAGAATTTGAGCCTTGCAGAGTTACACTGTACCTTTGCCTGGAGGAAAGCTGAAGAGCATTATTTTGGTTAAAGGAGGGAGGCTGTTCCATTTTAACAGTACCAGGAATGACTCTTTGTCAGTAACACTGTTTCTTTAGGGCTTTCTTTGTGTGTGATGCTCTACATGCTTCATTAACAAGAATAACTGCTAAATTACATTCGTCTCAAAAAAAATGATAACATACAGATGTACAAACCCACATTCATGTGTTGTTTTATTGGTGCATTACAACATTACATTTCCTTCACATTGAGAAAGCATGAGATTAAAATACATTGATCCACAAAAATGCCTTCCCTACGCTGACTTTGCACTGGTGATTGTGGCACCACAAGTTTCATTCCATTAAGTCTTTCATATTTTTAATTACATTTTAATCAAACCTTTTACATTGTCTACTTTATGACTCTCAATTTAATTATTCCCATTAAAATGTGTTATTCTTTACTGGTCACCAATTACTCCTGCAATTTCAGTTTTTATGCTGTATTACACTTCATGTTCCAATCCTTTAACAGCCACTTGAGGACTGGATGAGCTTTTCCTCATCCCAAAGACAGTCTGCCTGTACCAAAAGCCATTAAAATACTAAGAATGTGTACAGCACAGTTAGAAGGCCCCACTCCATTTTGAGAATAAGCCAGATCTATATAAAAACATGCAAAATGCTCTATGCATCAGTATTAAACTTCTAATTTTGATTGAAGATTTATTCTTTTTTTAACATTTGCATATAAGCTGGAAGACTAGGGTTCCTGCTGAAAGAAAGAGCTAATGGCTAAGCCTCACCCTGGCTCTGGGGCTCTCAGCAAGCCTCCCACAGGAAGTGATAGAAAACTATATTTGTTACAGAATTCTGCAGGATGGTTTAAAAACTTTGTAGGAAGATTAAACCTCCACTGAACTCTGTGGATTTCTAGAATAAGATCTCAACCACACCAGAGGAGTGCTCTGTCAAATCCAGTGAAAATGCCAAGTAATTTTGCTTTGCTGATGCTGGTATTGTGAATTACTGTATATTCACCAGGAAAACCACAGCTAAGTTCAACTGCCTCTGTTGTAGAGCTCAGAATTCTGTAAGTGAAACATCTTTCCTCTGACTCAGTTAAACTGTACCAGCTTTGCAAGGCCTGATTTCTACAGAGCCTCTGGGGTTCACTCCTGTTATATTCTGTTCCTTAATGTCACTTCCTATTTATAGCCATTTCCAAATATCATATAAATTTATAAACAGCAAGGTTGCATCCTCTTGTACACAGTTATTAGGTTTATTTTTAAAGGGACCCTAATTTACTTGCTTTTTATAAAAATTCAAGTGTTGCGAATCAGGAAGCAGCTCTTCTCAAAAAAAAAATCTACAAAGCTTAGCTTTGAGGAAAGTAAATGACAAGCCTTACATAAAGACATTGAGCTGTTTGAATCACAAAATGTCTACTAGGCTGATGCATATTCCAACAGGAACACAGAAATTATAATCATGGCAGCAGTCTCCTCCAGTCTGAAGCACCGTAATTGTGGTCGTTGATCAACATTATCCTGATTGCTCCAAGAAATGTTCAACTGCCAGGGTGTGGTCTGGAATATTTTGCCTGCATTTCTCACAGGATACCTAAGGAGAAAAAACCTGGAATCTGACATTCTGCCATCCAAAGGTACATCATCTCACAGGAATGTGATGTATACTGCATAGTGCATACGTAACAAACAAAATCCTACTGATAATAAATTAACTTCAGTCACACACTTGTCAACCTTCTCCCCACCAACAGTGGTTTGATTCAGGTGAGTTCCAATTCAGGTACCAACCTTGGCAAGCACCATGCCCAAGAGCATGGTGAGCTGAAAATGTGGGATGGGATTGGTGGAAAACTGTCTCCAGCCTTCCTCTGGATATGTTACAGTGCTGGAAACCACCACAAGCATTCGTGGTTGTGTGCCCAAAGTCACGAATGAGAATCTTTGCATTTCCTCAGGTTACCAATGCTGCAGTGAGTCACTACACAAGAATGAACATGGCACAACGAAATCCACAGAAAACTTTGTGTCTCTTTATCCTCCCAGTGTGAGGGGGTTTAAAACATCTGTTTGAAAGACTTCAGCTTGCTAAATGCAATGGGTGTTCTTTTCTTTCGAATTTGTTTTGATGGTAAACATTGCAAGAGTTCTCAAAACTTGCTGATGGTGCAATAGCAATTTTCTAATCCATCCTGTATGTTGTTAGTTGGCAATTTTAACAGCATGGAGTTTCTTGAACGTGAGAATCATCCTGTGGAACTACAAATGCACAAGGCTTGGATCTCACAAGCACTTCACCAGCCACACCTTTCGCCTCTTAGCCATTAGTAGCTCAGAACAACCTTGGCAAACTTGACAATTAATACAAAGTTCCACCAGCATGTGGAGATTTTTGTTAATGTCAGAAGGCAGCAGGATAAATGTAAGGATGATGCCCTAAATTATCAAATTACAGAAGTTGAACACCTGATGAAAAGTGCTCTGTGTACTCACCACCCATCAAAATCAATGAGTGCTGAAGATGACCAGAACTTTGTAGAAGATACTCAGTACTTCAGAAAATCTGTTTCCAGATCTAGTATATGCCCAACCACATCTTAAAAGTACTCTCTTAACCATTCTCCACACGAGATTCTTTTTAATAATGTACTTTCCCCTTCCCTAGAGTAGTTCTACCTGCTTGCAGTAGACTGAAAACAGATAATTCAGCAAGTGAGTATGAACTGAAAATTTAACTTTAAAAGTATGATGGTACCATGGCATTAAAAATAAAATATTTAAATTCCCTTTATAAAACGGAAAGAAACAAAAGAAAAAATGTACATTAAGAACCACTGTTAAGAGACCAGTTTGGAGGAAATGTGAGAAGGCTAAAAGTTCATTCTGCACATTTCTCAAAGTCATACGGGACCTTCAGTTATTCCCTCCAGAGGCAGCCCAGTAGCATTGTCTGCTGTGGGTCTCTCTTCTTTCTTCACTGAGCTCTGATCCAGCAGGCTGACATAAGATTTGTGACAGGCTGTATTGCCCAAAGGAGGGTAGTGCTGTCTGTAGCAAATATAAGCAAAAATGAGGCCAATGACCCCTCCAACGAAAGCATCTGCAGGAAAAAAAGCAACAAAACCAGAAGCACGTCACAAGGGGAAGGGCAGCCAGGAGTGAAAACTGAAAATAAAAGACATTTGGTTGATGTAAAAGTGTTTAGCATGGAAAATGTGGATTTTGAATTTTCCTAAAGAATTTGGAACCAAATACCACAATTACACCAGACACACAAAATCCATCCTTGGGGACTTGTGTAATATTTTGAACACCCAAACTGTAGATGGTTGGATCAGTTCTGGGAGATGAACACTGGGAATAGAACAGCCTCCACAGGGTATCAAACACTCCTGACGTTCCAGATCACAGCTGACCATTTGTGGTGGACAGCCCATGGATCTTCACCCATTTAAAAAAGCAAACTGCTAAGAACAATCTCAAGCTGGATGAATTTTTACCAAAAGCATCTGAAAGGTCAAAGACTAAGCATGCCTGTTAACTTAATACCTTTTGAATATCTTTCTTTGATGTTTTTTACTATCCCATACTCCTATCAGAAAATAAGATAAGTAAGGCTATTGGATGAGATATTTGCAGCACTCACACTTAGGCAATTTAAAGTTTTCTATAGAGGATTCCTTCTGTTTCTGGTTGTTAAAATAACCAGAAAATACCTCACTAAAATACTCACCTCATCCTGTGTTTCATTTATAATCAACAAGAGAAAAATTTCACTGGAAATACGGACTCTGTGAAAGCCTCAGATTTAACATGAAGAATAATGAAGTGAGGCAAAAGGCACTGGTTAAAATGACCTGACAACACATTTTATTTTAACAAGACTGATTCAGCACCACATAATCTGTGTATAAATGTGTTTCCATTCTTTCAATTTGAAAAAATTCAAAGTGTAATAAAAATGGTAAATCATTGAGCTTATTGGCAAAGAAGGGTAAATCAATGCAAATTACTTTTGTCTGAAGTCCTTAAATACAGATTAAATACCCTGGTTTGGCATTGTAATTTTTATTAGAACAAAGACAATGTGGTTCAATTTTCAATGCATAATAGATGGTTTGTAATCATCAGAGAAGTGAGATGCCTTTTATCAGGAATGGCTAGGGCAAGAAAACCTGAAAAATTTAAGAGTGAGGTGGATAAATCTAAGAAATGCGACTGTAAGTCACATTTGAGGAACAGGACTACACGGAATGACCCAGGAGATGCCTTCTAATCCTGTGTTCTCTTCTTCCACACAAAAGGACAAAATGAATCTATCACAAATTAATGTAACAGGGGCTCAAACGGGAATTTAAAAGGTGATTGTGTGCAGACAGTACCCACACTGCAAGCTGACTGATTTCATCAGCCTGCCTCTACCAAACTATAATGGTATTAAAGGTACTGAGGGCAAGAATTTTCACTGTACAGCATCAATCAAAAACTTAGTTAAACTTGTATAAAACTTAGTTATTGTGACAAGAATAATTTTCTATAAACCTGTGTTGGGTGCAATTCTCAGATTATACTACTTTGACTGAATAGTGTTCCATCTGCTTTTTTATTCTGCTTAACACTCAGGTCACATCTATGACTATTTAAATTACTATTTTTAATCATGGAGAAACACCAGATTTTTGCCAGTCCTCTTTAAGATCCCTGGATTTTAAGGCTTGCTGAAAACTGGCCCGGATAATTTCTTTCAAAGCCTTTACACAAATTATGCAACTCTGGACCTCAGCCTGGGCACCACAGTAATACAAATTCACTACTTGATTTATGCCAAAGGTCTCTATCTTACTGACCTTGCCTGACTGGGGTTAATAGCAAAAATCACAGGCAACTTTTTTAAACTCCTGTTTTTGAAAAAAACAATTCAGTCTTTTGTTTGATTTCATGGTAGAAACAATTATCCTCTTTTTATTCTTTTCCTTTTTTCCCCACTTTGCCCATAAAGGAAAATGAATATTCTTTCATTCTCAGCACTTAACTTTACCTTTTTCCATACAAAATTCTCCTTTATTCCATGAGTAAATTGACATTTTCAGAATTAGAAGCCTATACAGGGAATATATATATTATATACATAACATATATATAACATTAGATAGATAGATAGATAGATAGATAGATAGATAGATAGATAGATATGTATATGGAATTGATATATTCAGGATTCACAGTGCAATATCCTACTATCCACTAATACCAATACTAAGGCCTTGAATATCACTCTCTCCAGCCAAATTGAAGGGAGCTCATTAAGTTCTCATAATATTAATGCTGTAAGCACACTCAATGGATTTTTAATAGAGGGACACTCCATCTTTCATCTGCTCTGTGCAAAGTCTTGGACTCAGAACTAATGTTCCTTTTTCATTTCCCACAGCATAGTAAAGGCTCCATCACAAAGCCACCACAAATAATTTAGCACAATTAGCTGACTCTGCTGAGCAGAAAAGCCAAAGCCTGAGGTTCTGGGCTGTGCCCAGAGGGGACCAGTCTCTCCCTTGGGAGCACAGCTCTTTCAGGGGAAAGCAGAGGTCACCTGCAGGATAATGTCTGCCAGCACTGCTCTTGGGAGGAGATGACTTTGTGTTTCAGGAAGGTAGAAAAATCATCGAGAAAAGCTTTATAAAATCAGGCCTGCTCTCCTAGAATCAGTGGTTGGCCTTGTCAAAGCTAGCATTTTGAAAGTTCCCATGTGAAAGCAATTCTGTTGGGAGCAATTTGTTAAAAAAGCAAGCTATTCCTGGGGAAAAAGTAACTTGCACCTGTATAAACTGCTTTTACACAATTAGATAGAAAAATGAAAACTATCTTTCACAACCAGCTTCCCTGCATGTAGACACTGACAGTTTGAGTGACCAATCAATACAGAATAACAACTTGTTACTAACCAATAAAGGTAATTGGCAAGAAAACTCCTAACCAATTAGAGTACCACACGAAGTCTGTAAATCTGTATAAAAATGAAATATGTGTATAAAGAATGGGCCCTTTCCACCATGAAGAAAATGGAGTCCCAAGTAATTTATTCCCATAAGTTTGCAGCTCCATCTCCTTAAAATTCAAAGGCAGAATAGGAGCAGCTGTGATGAACTGAGTCCCTCCCCCAGGCGCAGTTTTCCTCCACCATGCACAAAGCACACAACCATCACCTGCCTCACCTTTCAGCCCATCAATAATTCTGGCAAGGGACAGTTCACTCTGCAAACACCTGTGCCAAACTCCAGAGCAAACCTGTACTCTCCACATTTCTTCCCACTCCTCCTTTTCTCTTTAACAGGGAGCTCAAGCCAAGTGCCAAATATTTTCTGTGCCTCCTGCCAGCCTGTCCAGGCAGCACCTCACGCTCAGAAGGTTTGTGCTGGAGGCTCTCTCCAGCCCCAGTGCCACTGAGAAAAGGAGAAATGGGTCCTGAAACACAACAAGGCTCTGCTGGAAAGCAGGAGGCTCCTCAGAGAACATGTCAAGGCTAATGGCTGGTGATTAAGCAGCTGCAGCAGCACAGCAGGGTGAGAGGAAGCATGGCTGAGATGGGTTCTGCTGCTGGGTAGATGAGAAGGAGCTCAGGAGGACAGAGCAATGCAGCAATTAATTGAAATTATGTGAGGAACCACCAGAATGCTGTGTCTTTGTACTGAGATTTGGGGCCAGGTTTTGTAGCAGAGGGAGCTGCAGGGATGGCTTCTGTGAGAATCTTCTCCATGTGCAACAGAGCCAGCACCAGCCAGCTCCAGGATGGGTCTGCTGCTGGCCAAGGCTGGGCACAGCAGGGATGTGGGAGCACCTCTGGGATAACAGATGTAAAAAACTGGGAAAAAAATCTGGACACCTGCAATAGCAGCTGGAGAGAGGAGTGAGAATATGTGAGAGAAACAGCCCTGCTGACACCCAGGTCATTGAGGAAGGAGGGGCAGGAACTGTTCCAGGCACTGTGACAGCAGCTGCTGAGTGATCTCTCCCTCAACTTGACTCATGAACTTGTCACTGCATTTTCTCTCACCCTTCCAGCTGAGGAGGGGAGTGACAGACCTGGTGTCCAGCCAGGGTCAACCCACCACAGTGCTGGAAAACAGGAAACAGCAGGTAACCAGTATGGAACTGAAATTTCAGGTAATTGAAAGGAGCACTCAGGACCTTGAGGGGAGTTCAATTTGCAAGGCCAGCAGTACAGTCCTGGCAATACCACAGAAAGCCAAGGTGACCTACATAACAGCATCAGAAATACCATGCATGGTATTTCTTCTAGGAATTCAGGGACAAATAGGGAAAAAGAAATTACAAGCTGGTTTACTTAGCAGAAGAATGAGTGAAAGCAAGGAAGCTACAAAAATGGCCATAAAGAAGGTCAAGAAATGGTAAAAGAAATAATTGATGGCAGGGTTTCCTGAATTGTCACATGAGTGTGCAATTGATAAATTGCACAACCTTCTCCATCAGTTACAGAATTTTGAAGGACTCTGAGACAGCAGTGACAGATGCAGTGACCTGATGGGTGTTGCACTCCAGAAGTGCCTGCTGTGAGGGAGGGAAGGATGCTGTGGCAGAGGCCTGAGGCTCTGAAGGTCAGTGCTAGCTAATCCAGCCTTGCCAGGAAGCCCCAGCATCAATCCAGGAGCAAGGAAAATCTATAGCACAGCATGGTGTTTTAACTCACACCATGTAGTGAAACAGAAAAAAATCAAAGAAACACATGGCTAACTAAGAAAAAAAGAGCAGGACAAAAGAGCACGTCCGTGTCTCACCTTGCCAGTGGTGTTTGTAGTCACACATCCGCGACAGGGCGATCATCATGGCGCAGTAGAGGGGCAGGATTGCTGCACAGAGCCTCCAGCTCTTCCCTCGGCCGCTCTCCGTGAAGCAGTGCAGCTTTCCAGCCAGGTAGAAGGTGGTGAAGCCAAGGCCTGAAAATGCAACTGATAAAGCAAAGCACATCACTACAGTGAACTGTAATTAGGGCTGGGTTGGTTGGTTGGTTGGGATTTTTTTATTAAAGCAGTCATGATCTTGCAGACTTTAAAATATTACATTTTTGGGGAAGTGAATGAGAAAATACATTCTCCAACAAGATCCACGACAAACATGTATTCTTCACAGCGGTGGTTTTACCTATGGAGCAATGCAAGCAACCAGGCAAGGGAACACTCAGAAGCAATTTGATTTTTTGCTAATATATACACTCAGCTTTCACATAATCTGACATGTCTGCAAACACTGTGCTGCCTCTAGACATTCACCTATCCCATAGAAATTTAAATTTTTTCTTCCTTCAGCAATTTACCTTTTTCCTCTGGGGGACACATCAGACACTAAATTAAACATTTAAGCAAATTTTTAACTTGAGTCACAAAAGCTTTTTCATGCTTCAACCTTCAGCACAACTTTCCTGATTTTAGACCTATTCTAAAATGTTAAGGTTCAAAGCAGAAAAGGATTCAGACAGTTTGCACTGTAATTGAATTACATTTAAATGAGATTTTTAGGTTCCATTACCCAGTTTCTATAGAACATGCACAAGTAGCAGTGACAAGAGAACTCAGGCACCAAGTTTCTGCACTGAACTTCTTTCCTGTTGCAGCTCTTACACCTTCCAGAGAGACACTGGACAAATAAAGGACTTGTTTGCATCATTTCATCTTCCAGATGAGTTAATGGAGTGATCAGAATGAAATCTGTCTTGGATATGCAACATCAAAGGCAATCCTGAAGCAAAAACTTTCCCACCCCAAAAATATTTTTGTCTTCATTTTTTTTATTTTTCACCTTGAGTTATTATTTTTTAGGTGAACTAAAATCTGAAGGCATCATTCCCAGGCAGAAGAATAAATTGCTTTTTGGTTTCATTTTCAGGCAATCTACAATGCCCAGCAATTTAGAGGGCTTAAAGGAATATTGCCCAAACTATAAAGTAGGTGTTCAGCTCACACAGATTCATATTTAGGATTACTACCATTTATCAGGCAATTTTACCAGCAATGGTCAGCATGGTGCACAGCAGCAGCAGATGTAGCTAAAAGGACTTCCGAGAGAATCTGGTGATATTTTCAAAATACTATTTCCCCCAAATTTGTGGGGTTCTTTTCAGGGTCTGTCTTCCAGAAGTAGGTGTTCATGGAAGAACATGGAAGTACAGCAGGATCTATATTTGTAATAAACACAAAGGCTGATCTTGCCTTAGGAGGTGGATGTGTTCCCTCAAACTAAAAGGCAGAAAGAAGAGAGTCACAAACATTCCTCTAGGGGAACCCACACCTAATGTAAGAGGGAAAAGAAATATATAACACTCTAAAATATAGTAACATATAAAGCTAATATTGTGGCTGTAGAACAATGTGCAGAGAAGCTTACACCGCAGAATTTCAGATTGACTTCCCTTAACCTGGAGTGTGCAAATCCAGAAAGAGCTGCTTGACCCAACAGTCCCAGTGCACGCAGAGTCAGAAGCAAAACCCATGGAATTAACAGCAAAATGCTCTGGGATGTGGGATATCCATTATAAAAGTAACTGCAGAATTCAAGACAGCTCAATTGCTGTGCACCCCATGTGGGCAGCTTTGCCTGATGGCTCTGTTGTGGAGATGTCAGTCAAGAACATAAAGAAAAACAATTCACTCTTCAAGAATCCTGGGCCTAAAGGTGATATTTACACTGAAGAATTGGTCCTTCAGTAGAATATATTTGAGCACTTTTTCCTGCACCAGCTGGAGTCAATACAGTACTGAAGCATGAAGGAAATGCAAATCCACACATGCCCTGAAGGGTCACACTCTGCCTACTGTCCTAGTAAAAGTTATTAGAAAGACAGATCCCAAAGATTCAGCAGAACAATACAAAATCACTTCTAAGCTGCCTTTTTCCAGAAAATAAATCAAACTCTCTTTATATAAAGAAGGGAAAAGCAATATACAATACCAACCAGCCCTTTTTGGAGACATTGATGTAAATGAACAGAAGTAAATTAGTCTGATTTAGTTTAAAACAATGTTAACACAAGAAACATGTTGATACAAATTCCAGACACAAAAATTCAATTGATTTTAAATGTTGTAAGAGGAGAAAGTAATGAGCAAATGAGATATTTTTACCAATTGGTGTAGCTAACTTAAATCAAAATGCTGATGCCACAAGTTGCTGAATTCAGGAAAAACTCTCATGAGACGAGCCACAGGTTCTGTCATGGCTTGTTAAAATTCTTTAAAATGCGTTCTCATTACTTGAATAAATAAAAATACCATAGACTCAATTGTTCAGTTTGTTTCTATGAAGTTCTTTTTAAAAAGTGAGTTCAGAAGGAATGAGGATGACAGCACCTGGAGACACCACAGATCCCATCGTGACACCTGATTCCCTCCAGACAGGGGATTTAGGTGAGCTGGAAAACCTGTCTGTACAGACCAAACCAATTACCAAGCTGAAATGCATAAGGTGAGAAACTGTAAACAAGAATCTGATCTAAAGCACCCCAAATAAATTATTCATTTAAAGATGTAATTGCTTTTGTGAGCATTTTTCTGAAATTTAAACTACCCCAGGAGGATCTTCAGCCTCTCAAGTTTTAATGGATGCTTTGCTAAGCACACAATAAATGACTTTTTTACATTAAGCAGTTTTTGAACTAAAGAAAACCCCTCAACTTACTTAAGTGACATCAAATTACAAAACAACCATCTGAATGGCCTCTTTAAGGATCAGATAAAATGATCCATCCCTTTGTCTGCAATGGTTTATTTTTGCAGTGATAACTGTACATTTCCCAAGTGCAAACACAGACTATTCATCACTGGAATTGCTTAGCAGCCTACTGAGGAATTCCAGCAGCTAGGGCTACTGCTGAATGTTTTCAGTTTCACACTGTTCAAAGACTGAAATATTTATCTTTCTTGAAGGAAAAAGTATGATACCAAATGAGTGCATAAATTTTAATGCTGAAATTCAACTCAAAGAGCATTTTATAGAAGTACAACTCCCAATGAATGTTATGAGCTTATTATCACAAAATATTTTTTAATTATTTTTTTCCAAGTGGGACAGTCAATCACCTTCCCTTTGGCTTAGCTTTATTAATTTCTTTTCACAGAGAAAGACAGTTCAGCAGAAGCAACATGAAAAGCACATCACAAACTACAAATGCATGCAGGGGCTTGGGAAACAAAAAAGGGATGTTGGAGACAGAGACATGTTAGAATAAAAACAGACTCATTATCTGAAAAGCAAGAGCATTAGTCATTAGATTGTTTTTGCACCACTGTCACAGTGAATTCTTATGAACTCTTTTGGGTTTTTTTGGTGACACGTGTTTTTAAGTACCTTTCCAGATACCCCATCTCACCTGAAATTCCTAGGTGGCCTCAGGATTCATCTCATTGCCACCAAAAATGAGAACTAAGTTTTGATCTGTTCAGTTCATGACACCTTTTACCAAAGTCCTAAAAGCAACATGTTCCACAGCCTACTTTTCCATTTCTGTGGGTAGAAACCTTGAAAAAACCCTCCTTCTCTGAGAACATAGTAAAGAGAAGATTAAACCAGATACTGGAATTACTTTTTATAATTTCTCTTTTTAAGCACAGCCTAGGTACAAGCCTTAGATCACTGCCTTTTCAGCTCTAATACAAATTATGGCCATGGGGGCATTTATGAGATATTTAACAACAAATAATCCCTACCAAGAGCAATTTTGTCTTCCAGGTCAACACTGGGAGATATCAAATTCCAACCAATGGGTAACTTGTTGCTTTCCTGTTTTTCTGTAATCATATCACCAGTAACATCCTGGATAAGGATCACATCCTGCTCAACCTCTTGTCATGCCAAGTATTTGCATCACTCATTCAGGGATAATAATAATAATAATAATAAAACATAATTTAAAACTTATTAGAAGGAAATTGGCCCAAGCATACAGACTAGCATGTAAAATTCAGTTAGAAGACAGGCTGAAGAGTTTCTCCATGGATAAAAACTTTTTACAGTGGAGGATCAGAATGCTTCTGTCAAACTCATGATCAGCAGTGTCAAGGACTTTACTGGAAAATACCAGTTTTAGTGCTGCAAATAATCCCCTTAAATACTTCCAAAAGGAACTGGAGAAACCCCAGGACTGTGCCCAACCTGAGCAGGAAGGGTTATACAGAAAATTACTTCTTCTCTTTTCATGGTGTGACACACAGCAGGAATAGGGAAATGTTATTTATTCCTGGAACACTGCAAAGTGCAAAGCAATGCAGCCTGATCTATCCACCATCTGCAAGAGGAACTTTTCATTGGGGTTTTGTAGAGAGAAGTAGAGTTTGGACAGGGGAAGACAAATTACTTTGAGCCTTTTTCAGCCCCACTTTCAAACTGGGCCAGGACACCAAGGAGGAAGTGGCTGCACAGCAGGATTGTACTGTCACTGAACGCACCGGGCTCCAAACTTGCCAAAAACTCTCTTGAGAGAGTCTTTTAAATAACTGTCTTGGAAAAATCAGGGACTGGAAAATTGGGCATCTTCATTCCCCATTCCATCTGGAATGAAGTTTGCTGACTCAAGACAGCAAAACTAGAGTTGCTCTCTGTTATGGAGTACACAGTAGATTTGGGATTAACACCTTTAAACATACAAAGAAAAGGGAGAAAATATAATTTTTCAAAGTGCTAAATAACTGAATTGTTCAGCATGGAGAAGACAAGGCTTGAGGGCAACCTGGTCTGGTGGGAGCTGTCCCTGCCCATGGCAGGGGGTGGAACTGGATGATCTTTAAGGTCCCTTCCAACCCAAATCCCACAATGGCCCTACATCCTTTGTGTAAAATAAATTCAATAAAATGTTGGCCAGATATGATAAATCCCAGTGAGGAACCACTTCTCTACACCTCCAGGATTCCTGTATTAAAAACTCACCTACTTTTTTTTTTTTTTTTTTTTTTTTAATTCA